GGGGGGGGGGGGTAAGAAGGTGAACCTGTATGGTCGACACACAGAGTACGCAATCGAACTCTGCATACATACCGCTTCATGCATTCTGACCTGGTGAGAAGCGACAACAAGAACTGCTGTCCGTTCGCTGTCATGTCCTTCAATATCAACTACCAACCAGTTGTAGAGTCTTTCGGACCCCAGCTCGGAAGGAGAGAGACACCTATTCCTAATGGCTCGGTGCATTTCTTCATGCCTCCTCTCGACGTCATCTGTTGACCTCCACGTGGTTTTCTCCAGCCCGGAATAGCTACAGCGAATAACGCACGGTGCGGCAGACGACAGCCGGGCATACGCAATACGTGTCCTAGCCAGCGAAGCCTACTAATCTGAATTCGGTGTGCTAGCAGGTTTATACTTGATAGACTCCCAAACACAGGACGGCTTACCTCCACGTTACTAATCCGTTCGCTCCATTCAACAGGGGCTAAACTGCGTAAGAATCGATAATCGAAAACGTTCAGTCGACGGATATCTTCTACTCGCAAAATAAGGGTCTCACAACCAAAAAGCAGGATTGAACGAACACAATATACACGACCTTTCAACTTCAGTGAAACGTCGCGTCTACGCCAAAGGTGTTTTAGTCCTGCGTATGCTACTCGAGCCTTGGAAATGCGGGCGGTTATCTCCTTTGCTGCACTACCGTCATTGGTCACGCAACTACCTAAGTAGGAAAAGCAATCCGTTATAACTAAATCCTGGCCACTTAGTTTCAGAGCGGGAGTAGACGAAACCCAGTCCTCCAGCAGCACTTGACATTTTGAAGGTACAAAGCATATACCGAATGTGGCCACTGCACTTGTTAATCTATCAAGTGCGCTTTGCGCGTCCCGCATACATACAGACAGGCGATGTCATCGGCGTACACTAAATCGCAGCTCCAGGACCTGACGCAACGTAAAAATTTGATCAATAAATCTACGGCCAGGCCGGAATCCGGCTTGTTCACGGATGTTGGTCTCTCTTAAAGGCGTCAGACGTCGAAGTATAACCGAAGCTTGCACTTTGGTGACGATCGGATTCAAACTTATCCCGCGGTGGTTTTCGCAATCGTTGCGGAATCCTTTCTTTGTAATGGGAACGATCAGTGACTCGCCCCAAGATGAAGGAATGTGCTCTTGCATCCGAATGTTGCGCAGTAGGGTAGTAATAGAGGTTACGAGGTTATCACTTCCCATCTTGAAAAGAGTGGGAGGGAGCTTATCAGGTCCTGCTACCTTTCCTCGCTTCAGAGATTAAATGCAAGACCGAACTTCTGCTTCCGTTGGAGGATCGCATGACACTGCCCACGGAGCTTCAGTTGCAGATGAAGCAGCCTGGTTAGTACTAGGCCAGCTGAACTGTTCGCTGAAGTATTCTGCCCAGCGATCGAGTCGTTGATCCCTATTGTGAATAGCTCGTCCCCTCTTATTGCAGACTGTTTCACTAACCGGAGTTTGTCGACCTCCCGTATTGCGCATCAGTCGGAACAGTCTTTGACTATTCCCTGATACAGCTGCTACTTCCATTTCACTAGCTATTGTTTCCAACCAGTTCTCACGGTCCTTTTTGAGGCTCCTTGTGGGCAGACGTTGTAGCTACCACCTAACTTTATTTTGATCCTGGCAGGCCGGGACTTGCCGTTTTTGCTCCATCAGGACTACTGACTCCTGAGATACCCAATGCGTCCGATGGGTTTGAGGCTCAGACCCACAAGCAACATTCGCAGCTGAATGCATTGCTCGCCTAATCTGATCCGACTGCTCGTCTTCATCACCACGCTGAAGCGCACTTAGCTTACGCACTAGCTCTGACTCATAGCGTACACGAACGGTTGGAGCAGATAGTCGTTGATGAGGTATCCGAGCTTGCTGGTTTTTTCGTCGATCAGTCAGTCAGAGAGTGAACTGCATCAGAACTAATGCGTGGTCAGACTCAACGCAGGTGGTACAATAAAACCTGCAATTTTGCAGTGAGCCACACCAACGGTCCTTGTGTGTTCGTATTACCAGTAACCTGTTTTCTTATTCATTACTAACTTTTCAGTGTTTGTCTTGCCCCGTTTCCCTCTTACTGTTTTTAATGCTCCATGGACGAAAATCGTTTGCATTGCAGGTAGGTTAACAGTGTTTCACATGTTATAGCCCATTTTTTATTGAACATTGTAATGCACGTAAATTGTATGTTTCATGTAGCGTCCGGTGAATGTCAATGAAATGTGTGTATCTAGCAACTTATGTCACCCATTCATTATCATCAATCCATAAAAGGGAACTCATTGTTTCAAGTCCGTTGAAATAGTGAGGTGTAATTTTGAACTTGTTTGATCGATTTAGCATATTAAAAGTTTTTTCTACTTCCACTTCCGGTCAATTTTCGTACATTGATGTAGTCGCTGTATAGGAGAGGAATGTGAACAGATTGCTTTTCTCGCCCCGAGGTCAATCGATTTCTTTCTCGCATATCATACATTTGCATTCAAGTAACTCAGGTCATAATGGGTGACTCTTGTCCACGGCAAGTTATTCCATTAGATCGCTCCATTGGGGAACACTTGACTCATGGTTCCAGGAAACATAACTGCACTAAAAAGAGATGAAAACAATTAGATGTGAGAAGCAATTAATTAAAGGGTTATCTAGATTTCGCTTATCGCTTTTTTATTACTAAAGCCCACTATACATACGGTGGTGGACTTGTTTCATTATTATTATTATTATTATTATTATTATTATTATTATTATTATTATTGTTTAACCTGACAATCCAGTCACCTTACTAAACCCAAAGTATTCTTGAAACGAAAGGTCTGAATGAATTTATGCTAGCCTTCTCATTGATTTTCCCCTGCTCTCCCTTGGGCATGGGTAGCGTTTCCTAAAACATGTGGGTCAAATCAACATATACACAAAGAAGGGACAGTAACAAATCTGCAAAATCTGTAAACCAATTAGATATTGTTTATGACCCAAAAGAGGTATATTCAGAATGGGACCGAATGCGGAAAAGATGCAAACGCAAGAATTGTTTCATATATACCTCAAGGAAAACGTGGTGGGATGTGGGTGACTCCCTGCGATTGACTTATTTTTTGGTATTTTTCTTTTATTGAAGTGCTAAATTTTTGCTCCACTGCAATCTATTTCTCGTCACAGAGCCCAAATCTCTCAGCTCGTTGACTGTTTTTTCCATTTCATGGGATACCACAGTTATTGACACATTTCTTACTTTTTGTTGTCTTTCATTCTGTGATGAACAGAAAAAAGAGTGAGGAAATTCTGTTGGATTATGAGGACCTGATGCCCACTTTTGACAACCACCAACCCGTGGATCTGGTATGGGGACTAGCGAGTCACTTAGTCTGTCACAAGAATATGCTTTATATTGAGCTGGATGACATCTTAGCCACATACCACCAAACTTGAGCGGCTGCAGTCGGGTACTATTCTAGAACTAGGTGTCTCAGAGAACTCTAGTGACTGCACCACAAGCCGCTTGCTCAACACCATCCGTTTGATTATCTGAAGATTTTATTCAAGATTATTCTCTTCTTTACGATCGTGAAACTCACGAAGCTAACCCAAATCTGATTTATTGTATCGAGTTCTTTACTTTCATTCCAAAATACAAAATATTTGATTTTTGGTCTCATCTTTACAAAGGTATTTTACTATTTAGTTTAACTAAACTAGCAATAACTTTCTAGTATCAAAATGATAAGATTAAAAATAGTCCCTCAGAAAAATAATAATAATTCCGCTAATTGAATTTTTGTCCATTCTCATTTTATGCTCGTATGTCGTCAATGGATTAACTTTCCCGGATGTGTCAGCCTATCGTGCGACACAAGTGATGGAAAACTAACTCTTAAAATATCTGGTTGTGTGGGTTTCTTTCTCCACCCTGATAAAGAGAAAAAAGGATTTTTGAAACCCCTCACCATTTCGAACTTGGTGTTCAAAATAAAATCAATATGTGAAACACTGGGTTTAGTGAAACCTATCCCAGAAAAATGATGACTAGTTTGTCTGTTACGAGTATTTCCACAATTCCAACATAGCTCTCGGTTTTCATTTTTTGTTCCAATCGACACATTTGTTCCTGTTCGACTCAACCGGTCGTCTTCTCTGGTTATTTCTCTTCTGTGAAACAGCTAAGCGCTTACTCACACAACATTGTTTGCCTGACTCGCAGTCTGCATTCAGGCAATGGTGAAATACAATTGGAAAATTGTTTTTCTCTTTGTAACCATGACATCGATCCATTGTTATGGATTGTATCATTTTATTTCTAGTCAGATTCCGACAGACATCTCTTTCCACAAAGCCTGAATCGATGCGCACACAAAGCAATTGATCAACTAGATTATAAAAGTTTGCAGCAGTCACGAATCCAGCTTTGAACATTGATGTGCGTTGTCCTGATTGGAGTTAGCATTTTATCTGTCCGTGTGCTGCATTATACTAAGGGATTTTGAAAATATAAATAACAGTTAAAATCAAATAAAACGAGCGTATGTTTTCGGTGACTTCCTTTTCAAGCCTTTACAACCGTATTTATATGCAACAGTTTTCGTTAGAGTCAATCTGTGGTAAAGAATCATTGGTTTGTTACACCAGATTTTTGCTCTACCCAAGTGACATTCTATCATAGGTATTTTTTCGGAATATATATCTCTTATGAGAGTCTTCGGGCAAATTTTGTTCCAAAGAGATTAAGATACATAAATATATACAACAAAAATATCGTTTCATGAGTTGCTCGGGGGTGGAATACACTAGTTTATCCAACTCGGATCGGATGAGTTTTCTTGATGAATTTACAGCCGGTGCCGTTGAATACCCAAGGCAGCAAGGTTGCCGGATGGTGTGTATTAACCGCACTCCATAGAGGGGCCGGTGTCCAATTCATCAGATCATGCGCCATTCACACGTGTTGGAACGTTCCACATACCTAATTATATCTCGATGCTCAATCAAATTGGTGACCACAGCCAAAACGTGGACAGTGTGGCTGTGGTCCGTATACCTCTTCTTGGTTGGTTTGATATCAGGGTTTGGAGTCAACTTCCCTCAGTGAGCTGCCAGTTCATCGAACGTACACTTTGTGAACACGGTGACGACAGCTTCGTCTGCAGAGGCTTTCCGAGACGCTTGGTCCTATAGGAGCGTTTGGCGAGGTGCAAAGGAAGGGTGATAAGTCACAACCCACACAAAGCCCACCTCCGACCATAGTGAGGCCTAAGGAGGTATAGATAAAATAGTGACAAAAAGTGTCGTGAACACATTTTCATAGTCACCAAAATCAATCATTCGCAGTGTCCGGTGTATGTGTAGAAATCGAATGGGTTGATCCACGCACAAACTCCCAAATAAATTAACCCAATAGCCCAAGATGTTAACTCTCAACCACGAGGCGCAGGGTTTCTGCTCCAAACCAGAAACTTAGCGATTTGGTCATCGGAAGCTAGACATGCTTCCCTGGCTGTACCAAACATGAATGACTGACAACCAACGTTAGTGAATTAAAAATTCAATTCAATTCAAGTCAAAAAAATGAACTAATGGGAAAATGGCTATGTTTATAAATGAAAAAATTGTAAAAATAAAATGTAGACAGTACGGTTCGAACGAGAATGTCATTGCTGCTAAGACTCACTAATTGTAAAGTATTAACGTGTTTGAATTTGTTTTCTTTAAATGCACGCATATTCGCTTTTTAGCCAACATAAAACAGTCTAAATTCCGTTTCAGGAAGGCTATATTTCATCACATTATAGGCTTTCATCATTTCAGGTTTTATTTAATTTCACGGCAGAAGACTTATCCCAGACCTGGAGCACGAAAAGGAGTTGGGCCCACCTGTCTGTTTGAAGAGTCTGTGTTCTCTCGCGTCGAGTGAACTGTTTTCTTTTAGCGTTTAACTAAGTGTTCTTCCGTAACCCAACCTCAGGGAATATACGGTGTAAGGGTTCGAAGTTCTGTCTGACTCCCATCCCTTAACATTTAATTATCCAACCAGGATTGCTCGAATCGAACGGGAATTGAATCTTGTCGGTGGAACGACAGCTCAGACTGGTGAAACAAGTCTATTGCAACTCAGTGCCGATGTACGCTCATTGAAGAATCGTGTGTCCAATCTGGATCAGGACTTTGCAGAACTGAGTACCAAGTTGGACGACCGACATCAGAAAGTGGTCACGGAAACGGAAAACAATGTGAGTGATATCAATTGTGTGGGATCAATTGGCGTGTGTTTAATGTTGGTTGCTTTATAGTGTTTGTTAGATAAAGTAAATAAAAAGAGGCGAATGTATCGTTTCTTATCCAGGATGTTAATGAAATAGGAGTAGGTTATCAACCCTTACATTTTGGTACCAATGATCCATTAACGTTGATGCTGAAGTTGTATAATAGTTTCCAAAATCGCGAGCGCTTTTCACGCGGTCATTATGACATCAGTCCAAAAATCACATGTTCGAATCCCAGTACCAATGTCCCCAAAACTCATTTCTTTTTTGTCCTTTAGCTTCTTCCAATTGAGTAAGTGGTCATATAACCAGTTCTTGGGAAAATGGATGCCCGTCCCAAAGGAATATCATGTTATATAAAAATAAAGGTGTTGTATCGTTACGACCAGCAAGCGTGACCCACGAGTGGAA